ACTCGTTCAAACCGTTACGAACTTCGCCGCGCAATTTGCCGTGCGCATCCTCGGACGCACGTTCGTACACATACCCGTGTAAGTGATGCTGGTTCACCGAAGGAGATTCTTATATAAGGCTGCATAGATCACACATGAGTGAAAGACATTTTTATCGTTGATACTGCCCCATTCCCAACTGCAAAGTGAGATATCAACTTAACTTGTTCCAATGAAGAGCGAGAATTCCTTAAACTCTCGTATGAACGCCGAGGATTCCAACTGAATGACAAAACTTGGACTCCATCGTGAAATGTTCAATAAACCTCCTTGCAAGAATATGACATAAAGTTTTGTTTTTCGTTCCTCAGGTCACACCTTATTGAATGCTATGTACAATACAATGATACAAAGCGAAATTTGATCAAAAACGACAACGATTAATTTGCGTTCTACTTTTGGTGCGTCCGAGTTGCAGAAGAACAAATTGCCATTCTTTGGTGTCAGTAAAGAAACACTGTCTAGTATCTTCATATATGGAAAGGACCGTTTTCCATTCATCCTATTCTCTGCATACAAGCTCATGAACTAGCTGATGATTTGTTCTGTTGAATGCTAGGGAAGGAACTCCGAGGCCCAGTGTTTCCAGGGAAGATAATAGAAAATTTAATAAGGTGAAAATTATGACTAGTAGGTCCAGCTCAGGTTATGATAATGTCTGAATCCTGTCCCTAACAAGCCACCAAAGAATGGCTGAGAGGTTACAGCTTCCCTTTCTTTCCCTCCCCTTTTTCTCTTCTTTTAACTCTCTAACAAAGACAGAGGAAACCCTTTGAGTTTGCAGTACACGAAATTGTATAATATTCCTTTTCTAATCCTGATTCCCTACCGTATTCTCACAACTACCTTGAAGTGATGCGAACAAATTATTTCTTCACTAATTACTCTAAAAATGAGGTTATCTATGTGTTATATAAATTCGAATTTACGAACGAAATTCTCCTCTCTTCTGCGCGGCAGGACTCTCCAAAGCTCCTATCACTCAGTTTCTACCAGCTATCGACTTCTGCTCATCATGTATTACATACGTACCTATTACCATACTACAGTTACTCGTTTCTAGGAGCTACAACTGCACCTTGTGATGTGAGTGATGGTGCGCGGAGTGGGACCTATCCAGAAGAAAAACCATACACACCAATTCGGGCCTTATGTAATCTCATTACTGCAAGTCCTTTTACTTTAGCGTTAAAGTTCGCCTTTCAGTTTTCTTGATGTGTTCTAACCAGGCGCTAGAGTATGTTGGCAGACTGACGTATAGACCGACAGACTGAATATATAATGGCAGTTTATCTACCTAGGAAACTCTGTTGGGAAAACACATAGACAACCAAATCGGCCAACAATTAGAGAGGTTGCGGTTGTTGACACGTTTATTTAGTGTTTTCTGGGTGGTTGATTTCATTTTGATGTTATTGGACCTTGTCGATACGGATAGTTGCGTAGTTTCCAAAACAGCCAATCTACTACCGCCCTTCTCCTGAATTTCTAGCTTCAAAATCTCTGAATCATTGGTTTCCTCGCACCAGTTTCATTTCTCCCGTGATCTACGGAGGTGATTTCAAGAAAGACGCTTTCTATTATTACAGGTTCACAAAGTGCTGTTCTTATCAAAGTTTCGCAAATTAATTTGAAAGCCAAGGATTGCCTGTTTGGTCAGTGCATTACGTTGTAGCAAGCTTTTACGATTCCTGTCATATAGCTAGCTGTCATATCCTACAAAAAACGTTATCGCAAAAAATTTCAAGCTCTGGCTGGAAATTCCTTCCGCCTTGGATTCTGGGTTATCCGGTATACTTTTGTACATAATACACCTTCACCAACCATTCCTACTCTGGCCCCCAAAAACCAGTTCATCAACTTAACTTCTTTTTCTACTGTCTGTTTTGTTTCACAAGAGGCAGACCGAGAATCTTGTGACCAGACTAATAAATAATCTCAACTTTTTGAACCCTCTAGCTAAGATTTGGCCACCAATATGTTCATTGATCCTCTGTATAGTGTTGCGCCACCCATGGTACAAAAATCATGTCATTGACCCTGACTAGTATCTGAAAATTATGTAAACGCCGTACCTGTCTACTCCACTCGTATAGAGAATCAGCGTTCATTGGCGAGACTGTTCGGAAAAAAGCTTCCAAAAAAGCCATTTCGAGCGGAGCAATCACTTAAGGTATGGATGACCGTCGCAAATGCAGCAGCAATCCGAGCGGAGTATGTAGAAGGCCCTGGAAATATAAGGAGGGATTCCAAATGCCAACATCTTTGAAAAAGGTTAAATCGTTTCGACTCATGCTAACCTCGGCTTTGTGATGTGGTGAAATCACCTCTAGGTAAATGCTAAATCTTTGGTTCCCCACTTGAAGAGGCCTCACAACCTCAGTTTCGAGCAATGAGCCTAAAACAAACTTCAGGAAGTAAATAGTAATTAGGAATGTGATTAACCAATATGTCTCGGATAAAGGACTGATCAGCACAGTGACTCAATGCCCATGAGAAATAGTACAGTACGCGGTGTAAGATTATCCATAAGATTCACAAAAAAATTTACTAAGAGAACAAGGAAGTATGTAATACATATATGCTCTTTACTTAAGCTTTTTAAAAAGGCCTTTGCAACTTGAAAATTCAGGCTTTCTGAGTGGGAGACATACACACTGTTAAGCTGCCTCCGGCATGCCATTGATGACGAACGTGGATATATAAAATACAAAAATTTCAGGGTTCTGGAGGGAAACTTATTCGAAGGTATAACAATTCTTTTGGAATAGAAAATTTTACAACAAAATTAAAATGTAGATAAGTTTAATAGACGAAGATTTGATGGAAATAGATGAAGCTGAGGATAGGAATGTGTAACGGACCAGATCTGCCACGCAGCATGGGTGGCATGGGCATCTTTTATCGATAAACGATTGATTGTGCAAGTTTGACCTACCTCCAACTCATTCAGTTAATTGGTCAGTAATGGATTCTTGGTAACTGAACGAAAAGCCGATTTGATAGTAAAGGCCAGTATGAGTCCAGGATCAAGAGGGTCTCTACTATCGAGTTTGCAACTTGATGGAACTTCTCTCTTTCCTCTCAATTGTACTTTTTTTCTCTTTTTCTATTACTATTGGCCGTTTTTATCTCCAGCCGTTCGTTTCTTTACGACATTTTATGCTACTTCTACTTTACCTATACATTTTTTTCAGAAACAAGTTTTTGCTGTGATCAGGCTTCCTCATATTTATATCAAACTTGGGATTACTTTCTGACGGGTAGTGTAGCAGAATTCTGGCTCATCATGGTTGTCGTTCATCCCACACTTGATACTCCTGTAGCAAAACAAACTGGTAAGGACCGCTTTCCAGCTAAATAAATCGCATACTGAACGTTAAATGAAATTAAGATGTCATTATTAGGCATTGATTGCTGGAGATCAAGGTTTGTTCCAAATTGCTCTCCAACTCTTTGTTTTATTGTTTGGTTTTAGAGCTTTTTCAACGTTCTCATTTGATTGACCTACTATTCTGTGCTTAAACCTTATAATGATTAAGTTGTTCACTACTTTGATCTCCCATTTGGCTAAAGTTGAGAAACTAGGGGTTGTGCGAGATTGTGATGAAAAAGTTGCATGAAAGGGATATTGGGACGAGCTGTCCAAATGTGTGTACCATTACGTCAGCTGGGTGCAGTAAGTTGCCTGCGTGCAACGTGTGCGTCCTGGTGCGAATAGTGCAATTGTGTGGTCTATACAACGCCGTGAGAAGTCTTCGCCTTGGGTGTGTAGCCTTGTGTCTTACTACGTCCTTCCTAGGAAGTTTTTCGACTTTAAGTGTCTCTTGTGCTATCCATGAAGGTAACAGATTCAATCTCAGGAGCAATTTCAAAAACCTTTCTTATCGTTAACTGTGCCTATAACTTTCCGCTCATTGTCTCCACTTAAGCTGTGATCTATTAGTAGCTTTTAAGTGAGCAGAAGAGTTGGTTGTACAGCAGTAATGAGACCTAGTAGATAGGTGACGCCCTATTAGACCTATACTAACATAATTCTTTTTCAGGAAAAAGGAAATTCCCCAGCAATGCCTTCTTCACCAAGTATTTTCTGGCTGGTGGGTGAATTTACCCGTGAGGGAACTCTTTCACCCTCATGTATCGGCCTCACGGTAATTATATGTTTTGTTTCTCAGGACAACAAATGGCTGACCCCACTGATCAAGAAGTACCTCCTGGGGCTGACTTTCTGGAAAGATTTCTCATCACTAAGCGGAAGTATATAGCTTTTCTTCTGCCACTGATAGTTATGCACGTAAGATTTACTAAGTTTTCTGGTATTATCGCTTTTTGATTTTCATTTTTTTTTTGAAGATCTTTTAGGGTTAGGCCAGACTGAGGTGAAGTTTATATTCCGGGTCCTTAGTGAGTCTTTGAAATTACTATCTCAACATTTCCACGTCCTCAGTACTTGCTAGGGAATCCAAAAATCTTTCTTAAAACTCATTTTTTCATTCACGATAATAATGACCGTTGACTTTGTTCTGAGTCAATTACTTCCGTGAAGACTCCTTTTTTCAGCTCCTCTGGTGGTTCACGGCATATCGCTATGACTGGTTTCCATTGTTCCGTACGAGATGGCAAATGCCGGTGATTATGCTTTTAGGGTCCACGGTTGCCGGTAAGTCTGTTCTTTGGATTTTCTTCTTCTGAATTATTTACTCAGGCGAAATTGACGCTATGGGTAAGTATAGGACCGAGAATTCCGGGGAACCAAAATCAGCTTGGAACGAAATCCCAATAATTTGCCTTCACTCAGAAGTGTTATTCAATGAAATGCCTTCAAAATTTCAAGAAGATGTCGAAGTTGTGGAGCACCCCTAACTGTTCTCACCATGGTCTTTCATCAAGCCCTTGTCGAACCCATTTACACTCAGGATGTGAAGTAAACTTTTTTTCTATCCAACCGTGGTTCCTTAGAGTTTAACCGTTTTTACTTTCGGAAGAAATTTTTAAAGACCTCTTTTCTATAGAGAAAATGCCATTGTGAAATTTAGGTATGACGGCTGAGGGTGGAGGGGCCATCGCATTTCCATTTATGACTCTATGTCTTCAAATCGATCCAGTATCAGCTAGGGATTTCTCTCTAATGATCCAATCCTTCGGCAAGTTCCAGACCTTGTAATTTCTCATCACCTACTGCTTATTTATTTGACTTACCTATTCATAGACCAGAGAATATTTGTTCGATACTTCTTCTAATTCAATATACTGAGCGGATTGCATACAGGGATGGGATGTGCCCTATTCGCTGTTCTGTACATGAGGATCCAAATAGAAGAGAAATCACTGCTGTTTGGATGTCTAGGCTCCATTCCTGGAATGATTCTCGGCCTTGCCTATGTAAGTTTTTAGCATTACGACTTCCTCGTCCATATATTGACAGTGCTTTCTACCCTTTCCAGGTCGACGATCTGCTCGGGGCCTCTGAGAAAAAGATGCTGTTCGTTTCAATTTGGTGCTCATTCGCTATAGCGCTCTATTTGCTAAACTCAGAAAAGAAAAGAATAACCTACTCAAAAATCCCCGATTTTAAGCTGTGGAAAGCTCTGGTACTCATCGCAACTGGATTCGTTGGAGGTGAGCTATCGGAATTGACGATATGGCGAAGGTGATCGACATAAGACTTTCAGCTAAAAGATTCCTAATTACAATCGTGGTACCAGAGGTTGATGTAAATGCTTAGGAAACTTGATTTCTTCGTTTCTGAACATGGCAATGTTTTAAGACTTGATATTCTAAGGTATTCTGAAGAAGGGTCATGTTAGAGGCACCCCTTCTCGGCAGTGTAAAGCGGGAAGCCGTCGAGGCGAGCCTACTGTCACTTAGGCGGTGAAGCATATGTAATCTGAGAAAATTATCCCGGCAATGTTCCGTTGCCCGACTCCTCTTTGTCTCGTCCCGCGCTTGTTCAATCGTTTCACCTGCTCTGAATTATTTCTCCTGTGAAAGGAGGACTTCTAAGGGACTGCTGTCCAAATGATCTCCAAAACCCATCCCCAAATTATTCCCCTTTAAAACGAACAACTTCTTGAGCTTTTCCGTCTCTGCTGACGAGAGTGAGTAAAATAGCGGACAGGTTTTAGGGTATGGGTGTGCGGGGATAACTTATTATTGCATTCAATAGAGGAAAACCCAAAGTAAAATTTTTGGGTGTTACTTCGTTCGTTACGTTCGTTAATTCGACCTTATCCCATTCCGCGGGAGCAGACTTTCTTCCTCAAATATTCAGTTGCAACTGCTATTGTCAGCGTCTGGATCACGCCTATGCCCTCGGAGAGTACCCTAAAATTCTCAAATTAGATCTGGTCTGATTCTTGGAAAAATTCACTACTGAATGGGAAAAATACTAGTCAGGTTGATGACCGCTTTTGGGCCTGTCATCGAAGATATTCCAGATGGTGAGTATGCGAAGATTCCAGTGAGTGTTGTAGTGATTGTAACAATCTTCCAGGGATCTTCACATCATTCGCTGGATCTGGAGTGGATATATGTATTTTCTCTATAAACACTTTGTTATTCCGCGTTTCCGAGAAGACAGCCACCCCTACGACAGTTGTGATGATGGGTGAAGAATAAATACCTCTGCAACCTCCTCAAAGAGTCTTATATCGGACATGTTTAGGATTGAATTCGATGATAGGGCTGTATTGTCGCGCAGTGTGGTATGCCAATGTATCCGAGCTCACATATGAATATCTGAAAGTGACCATACCAGTTGCTGTGACCATGGCACCTGTTGGAAGTTTCCTCGGCTCACACTTCCATAGACAGGTAAACTTCGAGCCACCAGAAATCGAATTGTTAGTAACTATTGTTGTATTTTATCGCTTCCTGAGATACGGTACCTATCCCTTTCCTCATTCTGTGCAAGAGCTGTACAGTCATTCAATTCAGTTGTTAACGAATTTGTTTTCGAATGACTTCAGAAAAAGAAACTCGCTAAGACTAACCGTGTGTAATTCAGGTACTGGCCTGTTTCGTGTATGTTTTGGAAGCTCTGTCTCTCTTGGGATTCTTGATCACGGGTCCACCTATTTTCCTAGGTAAAGTTTTCTCCGAAAAATAGACTCTGTCATTGAAGCATCAACATTCCGATTTATTATTAATTGAGTCTTTTTAGTTGTTCTCGGTGCTGGAATTATCGTAGTCGCATTCTTTTTCTTCTATGTGATCAGCAAATTTGGAGAAATGATCATGCCTGATGGAAGGGCGAGAGCAGATAGTACTGCATGATACGGGTTGTATCGCAATGTTCTGTATTCAAATGTAAATATAAACATCGCCGGTAAAACAACTGCTTGTCTACCATGTGCTTCTAAATTTATCTTTCTGTAGAATGGATACGGTAGCATACATTTATTACTGCCTTAAATACATATATTACTGTCGCATATTTTACTGCCTTTGTAAATAATTATTGATTCAACAAACTTTGTAAGCTGAGAGAGATGATTTCCTCAAAACGTTTTGGACACCCTAATAAATCATTACTCCACATAAATGCATATGCAACGGATCTAAATTGCCACAATTACTTTATTACCATATTCATGACGCATTCTGTGTAGAAATTTCGATTGGTCCACAATCCTCAGGCTCAAATCACATTTAGCTCCTGAATAGAAACCGAAATGCATGGCGTATCACAGTGAAGTGTGTCTATTCAACAGTTATCGACGACAAAATACATCTGAAAAAAAAGATGAGTGATGAGTGCCGGCTTATAAATTCGAAACACAAAAGCCAACTATCTACCGCATCTATTCACGACTAGGAGGATCCATACTCGGCTTTCGATAAACCTTGGCGTGAAGTACAGGGTGGCCCACATGAAGAGTGACGGGCAATAAAAAAAATCAACTTGCGGGCTTCTGGGCTGGAGGAAGCGGTGATCGCTTGGGCGGAAAGGAACGCGATGAACGTCATCTGAACCTTCCACAGGATCGGGCATCAGCCCACAGCGCAAGGAAGATGCTGCAATGTTGTGAAACCACGCTTCCGGGTTTTTGGGGTAAAGCAGTTTTGACCTTCAAATTCCCCGATCTCAATCCATTGGATTTTGGTGTATGGTCGATTCTGGAGCAAAAAACCTGCGCTTTTAAACACATGTCTTACCATTAGAAACCTCCAAAAGGAAGTTCCCTTGTGGAAGCTGGGGATGAAAATGATTGTGCGCATTCTTGAAAACATCCGAATAAGGTTGGATGTTTGCATTGAAGCGAAAGATGGTCATTCTGAATGCGAGATGTGATATGTTGTTTACAATTTTGTGATGATTGTGTAGGATTAATATTTTCCTATTTGGTTTGATCTGTATAGTTTTGATGCTAGTTTTCTCCGTCACACTTCATGTGGGTCACCCTGTATACTACTTCGGTAAATTGTACACCAGATTTTTGTGAGATACATATTCCTGATGCCTAATTCTTGACCTGGTTGTAATAGCTTTCCTAAAAACAAAAATTTACAGGCAAGTGTGACCTATCTTCACCGTACACATCACCACATCACCTATAAGAGAGCCATGGTACTCTATAAGAATATGACGTGTATTACACATTTAGTGGCCCTTCTTCGGCTTACCATCATTCCTTATCAATTGTTAACAAATCTTGTCACCAATCATTTCCGGCCTCTTTACATTTCGCGCCGCCTACCAAAGTGCAAGGGGTTCACCGTTAATATAATCTGAAGTGAATAACGAGCCCTCAGGCTCTGGTCTTGTAAGGCGTATTATCAGTTCCTATCAATAATTATCACTCCCTTCTCCTACCATTAGCGTTTTCACCCTGCCGCCTTTATCCCTTCCAAATTGGAACGCTCAGGGTTCATTAAGACTGGAGTTATGAATTTCCGCTCGAACACACACACACAAACCAACACACAAGCTTAGGTATTATATATAGTAGGATATCAATAATGCTGTAATACGTGTAGAACAGGCTGAAAATGGCTAGCTTCTACCATCTCCACCATAAAGACAAATTTGTCACACATTTGAAGTGTGTAGATGACACCGACCGATGCCATTTACGCATATCTGTGGAAGCTACTGCTTACACAGAGGATCTCAATGGGCTTCTCGGAATTGCCAAGGGATGGCTACTAATCATTCTGAATCGCACGATACTTTCGTGAATTGAGTTAAATTCAAAGTTCACGGAAAAAGAATTAGCGAGACGGCCGACTACGACGAGTCCGCGGCTTCTAGCTATGCCATACTGGGAAATGTCGGGTTACAAAAAAGCTCGAGAATGGCGCATTAAGAGCTTCAAGGCCGGCATGGCCGACGTTCACACCCAAACGTGGACGAGTTTCACCGGAGCTGTGAAGGCTGCATCATTCACAAGAGGGAAATCCGAACGACTAGTCGTGGCAAGTCAGATTTAGACATTTTTGACTCAATGTAGTCAGTTTTTCGCAATTGCAACGACTGAGATTTTCTTCGGAAACCCCTTTCTTTTGTCATTTCCATCATGATAATCTCGTACAAGCCCTACTCCCATTAATTTGGAAAACCCATGTATTTCACGAATTCTGCTAATTCTCATGCTAATTCCGCTTTTTAACTTGAAATGGTTACCTCAAAGTATTGTGAACTGTGCCTTTGATAAGAAATTACCTCCCATTCAAGGCCATTTCACCATTTAATTGATATAAATTGATTGCTTTTAAAGAATACTCTCGGGCAGACATGTTTGAACAGAATAATACTTCTCTGGACAGGTGTGAACCTGTATGGGACTATCGAACTAGGAAATGTTTATGTTTACAAAATGTCTGTTTTTCTTTTTAACTAGTCTTCTTTTTATTCAGACGGCTTAGCATATCTTCGCTATCCCAAGACCATGAATTCTCCAAAATCGCTTTTTCTCCCCCATACCAACTCTACTATGCTCCAGGACGGATACATTCAGTGAAGCTGCGTCCAATTGGCTATGAAGTTCACCAGACACCCCATTACTAGGACACCGCTATCTATGTTCTATTATGAACCGGCGAGTGGCGCACTATCACACATGCATGGTAACGGGTTCAAATTCTGGATCGTTGTCTGCCTAGGACAACCAGGCCTTCCATTGCTCCCGGACCGATTAGCTGGTACCAGACTCGTCTGGGGGGTAAAAGCAGTGACTCGTCCATTGGCTGGCCACCGCAAATCATTGTATAGACCACATACGCATTCAACACTCCACTTCCATTCTCAATGGAAAATAAATGTGGGAGTGTATCCCTCAGAAGGGATGGATCAACGTCCAAAGACTTACTCCTTTATCCTTATGCCTATATATGAAAATTTGTTGACCCCTACGTAATAGGTTAAATCCGCAAGTTCTGTAAAGCAAAGGAGACAGATTCGCCTTTAGTTACGTGAAGAAAGCTGAAGGGAGGTTCATTCAGATGTTCCTTTGCTGAAGCCTTTTTCAGCTGGCAGTAGAGCATCTAGGTTGAGGATTAATCTAGCAATGTCGTACTTGTACAACCTAAGAATTTATTGTAATTCTTAGTTGTTAGTAATGTGAAATTCAATCAATCTAGCTGACTC